GTGCATGTCATAATCCCGGCCTATAGACCTCTGTGCATATATAATGATTATTACCGCTTTATAGAAGAAAACACTTATAGCATCTGTTTCGTGTGCAACCAATTGCGAAGGACGGATGAAGCACGATGTTAATGAAAAATAAACCCACAGTGAAATTTCACAACTGCAGCAAATGTTCCAAAATGTATAGATAATTTTGACAATATTTTAAGACTCTTATATTTGTTTACAATAGCTGTACAAGCTGGTTTGCATATGGGCTGCGGACAACTGTGCTGTGTGGCTTTAGTTGTATAATGAATTTATAATTACGTCCTGTTTTAATTTCAAATGCAAATGCAGATGCAGATTAAATCGTTTGTGAGATGACTAATGACGATTCAAATTATCACGTTCCAGTTTGAGGTGGCATCGACTTTTATGCATTGCAGCTGTTTCCATGCAAGTTCTAAAAAATTTACGGCGGTACTGTGACCAATACTGTACAATTTATAAATTTAATATCTTTATTTACACGATACTAGATTCGCTTTTCACGACATCCAACTAAATATCTTTATTCTTTAAAATTTCGATATTATGACAAAATAAAACGAAACCTGTTGAAGGGGGATTTTTTGTGGGCAGACGTTGTACTCCTGAATAGCACGTGTTGATTTCTCAAAAACGACCCACTGGGGCCTTGGAGACGGAATTTCCGCTAGGTCTTATACCAGTTCATTAAGATTAGGAAATGCATGCGGTTTTAGGTAATCCCCAAGACAACGTAAGTAATTCCACACGGCTATTTAAAGCCGGGGAAAGGAAAGCATTAGCGAAGTCTACAGTTCATCAATAATCGCGGGCGCGTTGCTATGATCCAAGGGTGGGTTATAGATTCATCATTCATGTTTCGTTGTTTATGAATGTTGAGCCCTATCTTTAGCTTTCCAGTTTCCACTTTCCTCCAATGGCAATGCAGTAGCAACCGTGATGTACACTCAGGCCCCGTTTACACTATACCGGCCGGATTGCTATCGGAGTGGGTCAAATTTTGTAGGTATCGAAAGGCTGTGAAGATTTTTAAAATCTCAGAGACCCAAATCAACATGCCAATTCTGTCAAACCGGGCTAATAAGCATTTGCTACTAACCATTGCACCGTAACGGCAAAAGAAAATGTCGTGACCAGCGAATCCGGTATAGTGTAAACAGGGCCTCAGAGTAACATCATATTCACCTGAGTACATAACACCAACACAGAAAAAAATTCATTGTTACTAGAATGCATTGATATCGAAGGAGCTGGGCTCAGTTCCGAAATATCGCATACTCGAACCAACCTGACCGCGTAGCTCAGTTGGCAGAGCATTGGGCTAGTATTCCAAAGGTCGTAGGTTCGATTCCCACCGTGGACAGGCATATTTTTCAAGCTTGTCCGGTGTGGATATACACTCAGAGTAACATCACAAACCGATCGACTCAGCACTTGGGTTGCCAACTTCACTTTCATTTTGCTGTACGATGTGAGCACGATGTGATCAAGAAAAGCTTTGGCAAAGTGTGCAAAGCAAATTCTTGATCACTGGGCGTAAAAAAACCTGTGGTTCCGGTTCCCGACCGACCCTATTTTTTTCTGCCGACCATATTATTTTTTCAACGCGATTGACCGTGCGACCCTATTTTCTCCAGGTGGTTGCGGGCTGCTCATACAGCGTGCCAAAATGGCGTCTGTGCGTCATTATTAAACCAAAAAATTCGTCCATAGGAAATACGCAACTCTAGTTAATATTGATGTCGGGACTCTGCTGCAAATCGCCCAGCAAAAAACCGCCAAAACCATGAAAATTATTTCCGACCTACCGACCCTAATTTTTTCACGATATGAAACCGGAACCACATATATTTTTTTACGCCCTGTAGGATGAATCCTCAATGTGCCTGAATAGTAAATATTGGCCATTATTCCACATTAATCCAGAGTTGTACAAACATTTGCGGGCAGTCTTAATAGGTGACAGGCATCCGCAAAGAAGTAGATATGTCGTGACATGCAAAGATGTTGTGCACTTTATGCAGGCCAAAGAACTTACGATTTGGCGATGCTCCGTCATACACAGCTGCACATACCAAAAGGTTTAATGACAACACACACCAACCACTTTCCCCTGACATTATCTGGCACGAGGTAACATTCTCAATGAAATAGTATGCAATGACATGTTTGAGGTCAGAACAAATCCCTCTCACCAGAAATGCCAGTTCCAGTGTCCCTGATCTCACGGTATGCAGCTGGGGATTTCCCATGCAATGACAGGGCAAAGCGAATTATTTGGAGGTGATACCGCAGTCAAAATTTCTCACTTTCTAGGAGCTTTATTTACTGCTCCCAAAAAATTTCATATGAGGGATGACTCGAGATGCTGACCACTCATAATCTTTAAAATATCATTCTCCAAAGCACCATTTATGCCCAAACCATAATCCGTAATTCTTACCTTTAGCTCTTTTATCCTGCTTTCTAACTGCTTACATCCAAGTCTCGACGCTTTCACTGTTGCCACTAACTTCTCCAAACTACATGATGCAAGGGGTGCTTTACTTTTGGCTGGGACTGCTTTTGTTGTCTTCTTTCTTCTAGCAGCTTTCTCGAGGATAGAAAGGGTTTCGGAACAAAGGTTACATGGTTCAACGTCCGTTGTGCTGTTGCACTAACTTGGACAAATTCGCATTTTGGAGACCAAAATGTTCGCATTTTGGAGACCAAAATGTTACACTGCTCTGAAAATAGCTCTCAGAAATGGACTTTGGAACAGAATGCCGAACAACTGTAGAATCAGGAAACCCAACCAAGTCGTGATCAGATGTTGGGTCGCCCACAATTGACTGAGTGTTCACATCTTGTGGCAAGCCATCAAAAATATTTGATTTCTCGACCAAATTCAGCAACGCCTTGCAGTCTTCTAGTTCTTTTACGTTTTCTATCATCATAAATGATGTGGTTGTCTGGAATAGGCCAATTGAAAGCAAACACAGTAAATGCCATGCCTGCGTTCAGCAGCACTGTGTATTTGGCAATGCTGTGGATACCTTCATGCAGTTGGAATTTCGTATCTTTGTTGTCTGGCGTTGTTTCCAAGTTGACTTCGAAGATCTTCAACAATTGGGAATTCTTCAGGGAATTCAGGTATCACATCAGACGAGAATTGATGTATCACAGCAAACGATGTTGATGGAATTTAAATATTTTCGTCGGAACTGGGAACGCTCACCAAAGTACGACGTGTTTTCGTAGGGAAATTGTGGGATTTGCGAGGCAAGTTCTCGGTTGGAATGCTCCCAGTAACCAAACTTCCCCATTTTGGATCTTTAATAAAAATATTATACGATTTGCAGTTATATTGAAAGTCGCATAGTAAAAGATTTTAACATTCACGAATAGTCCTTTGTTCTATGGCTATATAGCAATATAGTGTAGCGAGTCGCAGAAAATGCAATACAATTGCATACTTGTCAAAACGCATTCGGGCGTGAGATGAAGTTCATGCAGATAAACGTTGCTTGCTTCAATACGTTTCTTAAGGTCTGGAGTCAACACTCGTGTCCACAGGATTAAATTTGTCCATTCCTTTCTCACTTTCTCGCGTTTTCCTTCAATTGTGAGGTGTGCTCACTATCGTCGGCACGAACTGCCGGTAGTTAAAAGAAGGAAAGCCCGTGCTTTCTGCTGCTTGAACAACCATAAAATGCACAGTTTTCGCCAAGCGTGCATGACATTTATCTTGTCAAACGACAAAAAAAGTTGAAATAAAAAAACAACCGCTTTATATTGAAATTTCGAATGCAGGTTTTGTATGTATTCTCTATATTCCAAATAAGGGATTCAGAAATCGGATGCAGCGAACGAACCACGTGGCCCTTCAAAACAAGGTTGAATAACATAATTTGTCACGTGGTACAAGAAGCCTATAACTATTCTCCTTCTATAAACCGTGCTTTACCCGACTGAAACCGTAGCATTGGCGTAGGAACTTGTGTTTCTATATTGGTTATGTCGTTTTTCTATGGAATTGTGTTTAATATTGGCATTTTATTGTTAGGATTTATAGCGACTGTCTTCACGAGGTAGCGATACGCTAGGTTGAGAACATTCTAGATCCAATCAGCGACCTGTATTTGTTCGAGACCTGTACTTTTATACCTGTGTAATCTATATAATTTCAATCACTTACTTATAAATAAGGCGTTGTACTATTGTTTAGTTTATAGCGTACAGCTACTTCAATAAACGTTCTCCTCTGAGTCAAAACTTCGATCTCTATATAAGCGCGTAAAGCACAGTGCAATTCCGCTCGGATATATTTGCACCCAGGGAAAGGAAAGCATTAGCGAAGTCTAAAGTTCATAAATAATCGCGGGCTCGTGGTTATGATCCAAGATTTCATGGGTGGACTTTGGCAAAGAGCCATATTTTCGATATCAGCGAGAGGAGTGCATGGGATAGGCAAGATTTCCATTTTCATATATTTCGAAAATCGTTTCATATACAATGGAGCTTTGAATCAATTTTTGTTTGCAGAAATGAGAAGAATTGATTTGTATGGGAAATCGTGAAATATATAGGGCAAGTTTGCTTTGAATAGTGTAATGTTTATGAATTTTGTTGCTTCAATTTTTTCTATAAAACGTGCACTGCTAAGACTACTTTCCTTTTGAATGAAGCCGTAAGTTTTCTAACTTAGCCTTTTTAATTTAAGAAAAAAATGTAAAGGAGAGCAAAATAATTTGAAGACAGAACTGAAATTACTGAACAATTTGTATAGGTAATCACACGGGAAGGAGTGCAATTAATGATTAACACTACGAGTGATTTTTGAAAAATGGGCCAAAATTGCACGAGCCGCCGTTTATTTATTTATTTATTATATGCATGACAAAATCGCTTTCTTTAAAATTCAACTGCATTTTGCCAAGAGTTTTCAACTCTTTTGTAAGCAATTTGTAAGAAATTATCAAAAACTCATAAAAGCAACATAACTTAAACTAGAACGCATGATTCAAACTCAAACAACATATTTTTGGACTTTGGAGTAAAAGAAAATCTTTATAAATTGTATTACAGACTTACATAGTCACGTTTCACTGCATCCCGCCGAGATTATTTCTTAAAACTACTTCCAGTTCCAGGTATTTTCCACACGCTCTTTTTGCCATACTATGTTTTTTAAACTCATTCTGGTGCCAAAATGTAGTTAAATTCGTCCACGTTTGTAAGACAAACTTCGCCGCCATATTGGATTTTTGTTGTTTTGATTTCCCGCTCCTCCCAGCCATCACGAAAATCATTAATTGCACTCCCGGAGAGGGCAATTAATGATGGTAATAGAACGAATAGGAGTGCTATTAATGCCATAATCATACGAGTGATTACAAAATCAACCGACCGCGTAGCGGAAGGTTGATTTGTTAATCACGAGTATGATTATGGCATTAATAGTACGACTTAATTCGTTCTATTACTTATTAATTATTTATCTTCTGTAATCAAACTGTTTAAGGGGGAAAAGCAGAAATATACAATTTGTTGAAAGTTCAATATAATTATTAAATTTTTGTCACGACAATTCTTAGTGAAATAGTACAATTATGAATTATTGTTTATCATATATAATAAAATTTACATATTATTAACGACTTCCGGGCATTATTTCCGGTATAATCACATGACAACATTTGTTTGAATTATTCAACACACAATTGGGAAGCCATGTTTGTATGTTTATAACGTGTTCAAAATAGTGAAGTTTTTAATTCAATTAATCATCTGAATTGGATGGAAATATAACTCCTGGTTGTGTTTAGTTCGGTGTCTTCTGCTGGATGAACAGGTAGGTCATTTTCGTCAGAAAATATATAATTTAACAACCGTCGAAAACGAGATCTGCATTCGGCAGATCCGACCTACAGTAAATGCCGACCTATCAACCTCCCATGTCGGCAATGTTTTGCCGACCTTAATTCAGCCAAAGTAATAATCTTTTTTGGTGCTTATAGCTGTTAAAAAGTCAGCGATTATAGAATTCGATGTACTTTGGTGTAAGGTTTAAGAATTAACGGGTATATTTATGATATAATTTAGGTAAAACTCTATTAAAAAAGAAAAGGCTTCGTGACATTTATACTTTTCAATGATTCGTAAATACGTGATTACTAGTGCAGGCTACTAGTGCTCCAAGACATGGAAACAGATTTTAAAAACTGCCGAGATGTACCGAGCTAGGTCAGATTTAGGTCGGCATTTTTTTTCCGACCTCAATTTTGAGGTTTTCGAGGGCTGATTTAAAAATTAAAAGGTCAAAATTTGTGAATTCCTCCATTTTGAAATTTTTTACAGCAATAAAGAAAATAAAATTCAAAGTTTGTATCCTGAGTGCTGATTGGCTAGTGTAAATACTAGACTGATTTTCATTGGCTGTAGACAAGAGTGCGATTACAGCTCAGAAAAGGTGCGATTAATGCTCAAATCGCACTCCTGTAAACCAATGAAATTGCAGTATTTGCCACTGATTACAGAAGATAAATAATTAATGAAATAATTGCACTTCTCTTAACCAATCAGATTGCAGAGAGTGCAATTAATGAAATAATTGCACTTCTCTTAACCAATCAGATTGCAGTAATTTTGTCGTGTATATAATAAGGTTAAGTAAAAACACTTTATTGGCAAAAGCAGTTATTAAGTTGAATAAACATTTCAAAACATTTTGTGACAGAATTGTTTCAGATTAAATTTTACATTAAATCAAAGCTCACAAAATGCAAAATAACATACTTACAGTTTGTATTTCGGAAAGTCATTGTTGTATAGTCAAAAGTACTAATCTTTCAACCATTTTGTACAAAAAATATAAAAAAGTAAAAATTTGGAAATCCTGACTTAATTATTAAACATATGAACAGTTGCATTAAACAGAATTACAGATCAGATATGTATTCTTCAACAAGCAGATTAATATGGATGAATTAAATCTTGTGTTATGGAATAATGGAACTACTAATTTCCAACTTTTAAAGCAGTTGCTGTGAAAGCATGCAGTTGTTTTATCTTATATTTGTAGCATGGTGATGGAAGAGTCACTATGTGTTACTGTCGTTCCAATTGAAGTGTTGCTCAAATATTGATTCAATACATTACCTCGGGCTGACCAATTCATTTCATCAAGTTCCTCGAGATATTCATACACTTCCTAGTATAATTGTAAACTTCCTGTTGAATAGTTTGAATGCACCAATCACCTTTGTTGTTTGTGCAACTAACCAATCATAAATAGAAAGGAAGTGACAAGAAATGATCAAATACTTGGAATTGGCTCTTTCACAGGAAGTGTATGAATATCTCGAGGAACTTGATCAAATGAATTGGTCAGCCCGAGGTAATGTATTGAATCAATATTTGAGCAACACTTCAATTGGAACGACAGTAAAATGCTTTTAAAATCATTGTTATTAAATAACAGTACCAATTATTCTTTTGGAAGCGTAGACAAAGAGTGGCATTGGGTTAATAGCATAAATAAAAGAACGTTTTTAAATGCAGCAATGTATATGTTAGTTAAATTATACAGGCAGACTATAATTATCAATGTTTGAATCCCATAACAAACATTCTTTGGATTTTATTCCACATGTGTCTTTGTTCTAAGAAAAAAGTAGAATTTATCAACAAGACTATAAGAATAACATCATATTGTTAATATTATTGTTCCTAGTAAATTGCGGAACAACGCCCTTATTCAAGCAACCCCGCTCCAGCGTACAAAGGTCATCGGATCTTGAATGTATTCTTCCCGTTGAAAAATATAAGGCCTGCAATATGCCAATGTGTCTGTCAATAATTATCTATATGATTGCTTCTAGTTGATCTAATTAGGGAAAAAGTAAGATCATACGTTTTTATAGGGCTCTAAAATCAAAGTGTAATAATAAATGAAGATATTCCATGTACTTTGTTGGATTGACCATGCCTCAAACTCAGTTGTCTATGACTATGACTTATATACGTTTGAATAATTTTTTCTATTGAAATTTTTAGTTTTTGTTTTGCTTTAACATGTTTTTGAATCCGAGCATTGCTTTTGCGCCAATATTTCGCAGTGTTTCTCCGGTCATACTTTAACAGAACTGAAACTTAACCTAGTTTTGCTGACAATTTCAATTCACCTCAGTCTGTGCATTTATCTTTTATAAATCAATGTTCTTTATTGAAACTATTTGTTTTAATAATTTCAGTTAAGAGAATTATCCGCGGATTGTTGACCAATCAAGAGATTGTTGACCAATCAAGAACGACAATAAAGTTT